AGCACAACAAGCTCAACGCTGCGTATTCGTTCTACAATGTGGCCACGTCCGTGCCGCTCACGGATCTTATGAACGACACGCTGATCATGGCCAAGAAGGAGGACTTTGACGTCTTCAACGCGCTTAGCCTCATGGACAACATGGAGTTCCTCAAGGAGCTCAAGTTCGGCCCTGGAGATGGTGACCTCATGTACTACCTGTACAACTGGCGCTGCCCGCGAATGGAAGGCAACAAGGTCGGTATCGTGCTGTGCTAGAAGCTGAGCCAGGGAGAGGTTTGCAAAGATATTGCACGGCGGCCGTGTAGCAGACGAACCGCATGCGATTTCGAAATCAGGAGACGGAAAGACGAGGAAGAACAAATACTGACGAGAGAATCTCGTGCGGAGGATCCAGTTGGGTGTTGGGTGAGTGCGTAGGTCGATAGAAGGAAGCAAGGAGAAGACTGCAATAGGTATAACCCGGGGATTACCGGGAAACATCCGTTGCAATACAGAAGCAAATGCACTGCAGTGGAATCTTGCTGGATCTGGTTTCGTTGTTCATCTGATGCGGCCAGGAGTCAATTTTGTACCATGATCCACTAGCAATCGAACGCGGGATACTTGCGTCGCATTCCACGTCGCGCACATGACATTCGGTTCATGTAGCTACAGGATGACCGTGTCCTGCGTTCTTTCGCGACGTCGTAGCATGAATCATCTACATTTGCATGATCGAGAATCATCTTGGTGATGGTCAAACGTCGAGGTTCGAGATGAGCCAAAGCGGCATACGAGCAGAATCGGGACAACTTCAGAAATGATTAACGGGCGTCCACGGTCGGAAGCTTAGCACGACAGGCAGCTACAGAATCTCCAAGCAGGATGTCAAGATGCTCAAGCACGCACGCAGGCTGTGGCGTCATGGTGAGCAGTAGCTTCGACAGGATGTCGCTTTTGGAGTGGCGTTAAAATCACAAAGGATGGGATAGCAAGCTGTTTAGCGGACATGGTCTCACCCGGCAGCAAAGAACTCACACACCGCAGCGGACCAGAGAAAAATGCAATGGTGGAAGGTTGACGCCTATTAGACTTTGAGCGTCCATACCCCATTCAAAACAGAGGAGAGGATACGCCGCATCGTCACTCAGCAATACAAACTGGCAACGCGAACACATCATTTGTTACTAGTGTGACGTACAGGAGCCACCCAATGCGGAAGAACGAAAGCGTGCTTCAGCGGCGTTCATTGGTGTTACGTCACTGGGTCTTTGGTGCTTGGTGAACAGGCGTGCGGCCCCGCATTGCCGCTCCGCGTAAAGCAGGTTCAGCTTTCGTCTGTTGGCAAGCACAGGGAGCCGTGACGCGTACTTGCTTGCCAATTAAACCCAGCGCAGCAGACGCTTTCCCGCGCTCATTGGTACATCACATGGCCCCCGGCCTTTCTCCACGTGAGCAGGACGCGCTTGACTGTCTCATGTGGCTCGCCAGACTTGGCTGCACTTGCTACCGGTTTTCCCTCTTGGGAATCTTTGGCGCACGGCTGTTCACCCTGTTAACCCTGTTCGGCTAGACTTGCTAATTTTTGTAGGTTAGGCAAATGTAGCAAGAGATCTGCAGGTTGCGCCGCTCTGGTGAAATCCAATCCAGCAATCGAGTTGT